TTGAACTCCCTGTCTTCTGCTCCCACCTCCGGACTGCTGGGATTCAGGCCCTGTACTACCTCAAAGGGCTCGGAGGTCTGTGCGTAAACAAATAAGCAAAGAGCGCTGTAAACGCACAGCGTGCCGTTCGCTACGTGCCACCATAGCCCATGGGCACAAAGTCACCTTCTACCTGAGAGAGCCAAATCCCACACCCCTGGCCATCTTCAGGGAGGACTGATCTGGTGAGGGCCACTTTACACGCTTTGGTACTCTATGTTCTCAGAAGAGCTTCGGCATACCGAGTGTAATCACACAGGCTGGATTTGGCAGTACAGCAGACCCGTAGTTCTCGGCTAGTAGGATGTCAAAGCAGAAAGACTGTCTACACTGAGTTCAAAACCAGCCCAGGGAATCGAGTGGAATTTTGTACCAAAACATGCTAAAGGCTTTAGGTTGGCTCCCCGGCACCCCAGAAGCTGGATGTAATGGCCTATGTGTTTGTAATCCCAGCAATCGGAAGGTATAGGCAGGTGGGTCAGGAGTTCAAGATCATTCTTAGCTTACACGGGAGTCCGAGGCCAGCCTGGGATACAGGAGACCTTGTCTCCAAAAAAAGAAAAAAGAAACTAGAAGAAGCACTGGGTGGGGGTGGGGGTCCTAACGGAGCTGAAGCAGCTCACTTGTGCGAGGGGCCCTTTTCAAGTGTCCCGCCTATAGCTGCTGAAAAAAAATTGGCTAATGTTCTTGGGTAACAGTGAGGCAGGGCCAAGCACCCCTTTCTGTGAGCTACTGTACCCGGTGTACCCTCCAGCTCTGCTGATGTGTCTGCCCTTGAGGTTGCCTCGGGTAACTAATGCAGTTTCTTGAGAATGTCTGCTGTGCTTCCCCTGTCCACTTGGCAGCTGACTCACCAGGTGGCCAGGATGCCCTTGCTGAGTGGCCCCGGTTGGGTATAATCAGGCGGAAATGCTGGCTGCAGAGCTGCACTCAGCATCTGATTCCGCCTGTCAGCTGATTAGGATTTGTTGGGCCCTGAACAAGGTCAAAATGAGATTAGGAAGAAAATGCCATGAGTCTGACAGAGCCTCGCGGAGCGGCTTCTCTGATTTGAACAGGATGAAGGAGGGAGAAAGGCCGAGGCCACTCTGAAATGTCAGCCTTAAGAGTCCAGGAGAAGATGCCAGGGCGGCTGCTCTGCCTGAGAGGAAGAAAGTGTGCTTCCTGGCAACCTTCTAAAGCTTGCCAACCGATGCGGCATGGGTGTCTCTTTCACACCACCCGAGTGAGGGTGCCGAGTCTGCTGTTCAGAAGCACTGAACATAAAATTGGTTGGGGGTCGGGGGAGAAGAGAGGAAGAAAAGAAATGCTGTCCTCTACTTTTATGGACCTTCTAAAGCAGTGTTTCTCAACCTGTGGGTAGCGACCCCTTTGGGGATCAAACAACCCTTTCACATAGTCGCCTAAGACTTTCAGAAAACGCAGATATTTATCGTCTGAATCCGAACAGTAACAATATTAGAGTTATGAAGTAATAACAAAAATAACTTTATAGTTGGGGGTCACCACAACATGACTTTTAACTGTATTAAAAGGTGGCAGCATTAGTGGCTTACAAAAGGGGGTGCCTGGCCTCTGCCCCATTGAGAACCACTATTCTAGAGCTCTCCCTAAGAGTCTGGAGCCAGTTTCTGTAGAAGCAACTGCCTGAGTGCTGGCCAAGTCTGGCTCTTAAGATTCGGAAGAAGGATGCACCTCCGTTAACAGCCCCAGCACTTTAGCCTTAGATAATTCTGGACAAGCTTGCATCTTTGAGGATAACCCCACCAGGAGTTTGGTCTGTCCTCAAAGATCTATTGTTTTCCTCAGGCCACACCTCCACAGAAGCATGTGGTTTCTGCAAAAGGTCTTATTGTGACAGAGGAGGGTTTTAAAGTGGCTGAAGAAGTTGGAGAGAAGATATGATTTCTGTCACACACAGAAGGACCTAGAGAATCGCGGGTGCTTAATAAGTGGCTTTCACAGCTATTTTTTTCCCCAGACTATTTCCTGGGGCAGGGCTCAGGTCTATTCTAGGGCCAGACTTTCCTCCTGGGGAATCTCACAGTCTCTTCCCACTCCAGGTAACAGTTGGGCCAAGAGACATCACTCAGGATTTTAAAAACTCCATGCATATTGTTTCCAAGATAGGTATAGATCCTTTACACATGTTGAAATAAACATTTGAATTGAGAAATGCTAAATGCAAAAAAATTAAATGTCATCATTAAGAGAACTATATTATAAATATATCTTAAAGAACTGAAGGTCCTTTTTGCAGGATTTGGACCATAATATTGCTAAACACTTACTACAGCACAGAAATTAGTACACGCCAGTCATTAGGGATTGCATTGTGAGGTGTGTGATAGTGGATACAATGGAGAAATTAGATAACAGCTTCCACTTGTACCTTCAAGTTGAGCATGCTAACATTTGATTGCCATGGTGCTCTGAAGTTTGCAGGGAGGCCGAAAGTTGGAAATCTTATTGAGGTCCTTAGGAAAGAAGGAGCCTGGAAGAGCTGAGCTGTCCAGGAGTGGCCAAGAACATAGCGTGCTCAGGTTAGTGAGTGTTAGACTAAACCAGGGAGAGAGAGGGCTAGTCACACAGTGACTCTGGGCGGAACGCTGGGTCTGTGTCTTTTGTTCAGAAAGGGGTCTTTGAGCGCATCATTACAATATCCCAAAGATTTTCCACGAGGTGGCTCCGTTCCATAGCTGCACAGTTCTCAGATCAGACCCACCGGCATGCTGACCTGCCCCTGTTCAAACACACACTTACTGCATTGACATCGTATTGTTTTTCTATTGTTGTGATAAATCACCATGACCAAGGCAATTTATAAAAGGAAGAGATTATTCAGGCTTACAGAGGGATGAGAGCTCATCACCACCATGGCAGGAAAGCATGGTAGCAGGCAGGCAGGGTAGCAGCTGGGGCAGCAGGCAGGCAGGGCAGCAGCCGGGGCAGCAGGCGGGCAGGGCAGCAGCTGGGGCAACAGGCTGAGCACTCACTTCTGAAACCTCAAGCAGGAAGCACAGAGCAAGACAACCAGGGATATGTGGCTTTTGAACCCTCAAAGTCCACCCTTAGCAACATCCTTCATTCAGCAAGGCCACATTGCCTAAGCCTAAGCAAATAGCACCACCAACGGGCAACCAAGTATCCAAATGCCAGAGACTATGGGGGACATCCCATCCAGACCACCATAAACACCGTTTAGGTTCAACGCTTGTGGCTTCCTGAATCAAACCTGCAGAATCCAAAATGTGCACACTGTCATTTCCTGAAAGAATGAACTCTTCTTTCTCGGCTTGATAGACTGAACAAGAAACGCCTGGCACCTGCCCTCATCTGAGTGAATCTCAAGGGTGTAATTTCCACACTGAAAACTTTGGATTTCAACAAGTGACCCATTCTCCTGAATAAGAACATTGCTGGGCCCATGCTCACACACAGCAGCACGCGTGAGGGTAGCTGCACATGGCACCCTCAGTCACAGCCAGAAATCTGTGTGCGACAAGGTGGGAGGGGTTGGAGGAGGTTCCCCTCTAGTTAGGGACCTAGCCAGCCTAGATTTCTTCTGCTCTTCCCAGGAAGACGAGGTTTGATATTTGTGATGGCATTCCTCTGCAGGGCTTCTCTGAGAACCAGTCCCCTCTGACAGACCCATGGTCAGAGCCATGTCATGTCTGAGCCTCTTGCCTCAGGAGCCGAGCTCCTTGGGACTCCTCATTCTGAAGGCCCAGGAATGGCCCCGGTTGCTCTTTCAGCCAAGAGACCCCCCCACCCCCACTGTTAACTATAACAAGATATCCGACAGAAATGACTTGCGTGAGGAAAGGCTCACGGTGGCTAATGGTTTCAGAGACACTCCAGTCCATCAGTGGTGGCGAAGGCATGGTGACAGGAAGGCAGAGGGGTGGCTGCCACCTGGTACGGACCAGGAAGTGGAGAGAGCTAGACCAGAGGCAGGGGTAGGTACAATGGTCAAAGACCTGCTCCTACCAACCTCATTCTGTCGGCCAGGCCCACTTCTTACAGACTCTGCAGCCTTTAAACTAGTGCCACAAGCTAGAGACCAAGTAAGTGTTCAAAATGTGTGAGTTTCAAATTCAGACTTTGTTCTCCTCCCCCGCATCCTGCCCTCCCTGGATTCACTACCCCGGATCGACTACATTGATCAGGGAGAGAGACCTTGGAGTACATTGCCAGTTCCTTCAGGTCCACGTGCCTCTCTCTATCTGAACCAATAGGTGAGCAGGCTGGAGCCCACACACGCATGAATGCTCACTCATGCCTCCCAGGTTGAAATGCCTGTGCAAGGGAGGTTCTCTTCGTCAATGATCAGCCACAATTAATCATATGGTTCCAGCCGGTTTCTTTGATCCATGTCTTCTGAGTCCACTTCATTCTCTACCTTCAAGCCAGAGTCATCTGTATTACGAGGCAACCTCCCTTCCTTCCTTCTCTATGGTATGAAGATGACATCTATGGTTCACTAAAGAGGATCCAGGCTCACCTGAGGACCCCCTAATCTAGCCAGGATAGATGGGAACTGTAATGACAAATGCTGGGGACACTCTCTGACACCCCTCCCTAGCCCTAACCAGGCGGCCACTCCTTGCCTAGCTCCACAGAATGCCCTCAATAGGGCTTGGCTCTGGGAACGGTGTAGACATATAGACAGACACTTACACCATGCGTGGGGACCGATGACAGGACAGAAAAGGGCTCCCTTTCGCTAGCCGCCCGGTTTTAGAGGAATGTCTTTCAACACTACCAGTTGTTTCCCTGGTGACAGAGGCTTCAAAATAAACAGGATTCTGCTCAGACGGTAATACACTGGGCTCGGGCTTCTGTCCCGATACAAACCATGCTAAAATAACACCCAAGATAGTTGTTGTCACTGTCTGCCATCTCTGCAGTCCCCAGGTCTGCTGCAGACCGTCAAGAGCTAGGGGCACTTAGAGCTTCACGTGGACTGACGTGGTGGGGTGCGGCTGGGTGGTGGGCTGCAGGCGGGGCCCCTCCGGCTGACCGGCTGACGAACAAGGGCCAAAGGCAGACCTAGAGGCCAGCGCTCTCCGCTCCCCCACCCACCTCCCTGCTTCCCACACAGCCCTCTGGGACTGGCATAGTGTCTGGAGGCGGTCCAGCAACCTGATGTGCATGCCACAGCCCGTCCCTCTCCCCACACAGAGCTGCAGTAATCCTGAGGTTCGGAGAGCCGGCTGAAGGGACAGTCTCGGCACCGGAACCGTGATACACAGAGCAAAGGCCACCGAGCGAGCGAGTTCCAACCCCCTTGTGAGCAACTGGAGTGAGGAGAGCTGCCAGCCTGCGGGTTCTTCAGGTAAGGATTAGGGAATGTGTTAGATCCAGAGCTGGGTCTGGCTGTTTTGTTCCAGAGTGTGTATAAAGTTAGTAGAAAGGGAAAAAACGAGGGACAGAGAGGTGTTTTGGACAGTTAGCAGGGAGCCAGCATGCCTGCCAGTATCTTGGATGGGCTCCCCTATGGCTGGCTTGAACTGGGGTGCAGCCGGCTCTGGAAGAAGGGCCCGCTGAGAGCACAGACATGGAAAAATAGCACTTACAGGTTAGAGACTGCAGAAGTAATCCTACACCCGGCCGCCCTATCATCATCATTCCTCCAGCGCCAGGCTAAGAAGAGCAGAGGGGGTGGGGAGACGATAGACCGAAGCCCTGGATGCAGCCTTTGGGAGCTGTGGGAAGCTGAAAGCTATGGCCACAGTGGGTCTGGCTGGCCCTATCTTGCTGTGTCATGCTCTCTCTACCCAACAGCCTAGAAACTCGGCTGCCTTGGAAAACCCGTGGGAAGTTCAGGTTTCTATCGGCCGTTTCATAGAGCAGCTGGAGGGTTTCATAGGGTGGGTGCTGATGCTCCCTGCCCTGGCACCTGAGCCACTCAGCACCTCCTAATCCTCTTTCACAGTCGCAGGCTCATCTCAGGACTCCTCCCTCAGGCTCCCCCAAGGGGACTGTATATACCCAAAGTGTGCAAGGGACTTTTACATACCCAAAGTGTGCAAGGGACTTTTACATACCTAAAGTGTGCAGGGCTCATGGACAGGAGGCCTTGAGACTCTCAGACCTCTGGGTGCTCCTGGAGGAATTTCAGGTATTTAGTCAAGGGCCATTCTACAAAGACCTCACCTCCCACCTCAGTCCCGAGAGTTCCCTATATCTCAGTTGAATGTAAGCCTTCATGCCTTCTTTAGGCTGTTTAGCATCCGCTGTTTCTTCTCTTTCTTCCTATCTGCTTTGGTGACCAGCACCTTTGCTTTGCCTTTCTATGGGGATGTCATGGATGGAGGTTTAGCTCCTCATGCTGCAGTGGGAGGAAGACAGGCATCCCAAGAGAGGCTGCCCTGCTCCCTCACTCCCGGTTACTGCCATGGCTTGGCACTGTGGCAAAATGTTAAAAAGGTTGCTCAGCTGGCAAAACGCAATCTTGAAAGCCTGATTTGGGCCTCCAGAAGTCACTATCTTTTGGGCGTGGGGGATTTTGTTGTTGCTATTTTTTCAGTTGGGTTCAGAAGGTAAATGCTTGAAAGCCCAGTGCCAGGGAGGCAGCGACAGGTGGATCCCTGGGGCATGCCAGCCAGCGAGCCGGTCTAGTCCACTCACTGAGCTCCAGGAACCAAAAACCAAACAAGCAAAACCTAAGGTGGCAACTCTTGAGGGATGACACCTGAGGTTGTCCTCTGGCCTCTGCATGCACATGTACACCTGTGTACACACACACACACACACACGATTGAGAACAAATGACCTTGCTTTGGGGGTAGTGGTAGCCAGGAAGAGTGGGCTGCCCTCATAAGGACTGCTGCCTGTATGAACAGTGTGGCTTGATGGAGCCTCTGATTCACAGCCACAAGCTCCACTGAAGGCTTCCCAGGAAAGGCCCCTCTAAAAGTTGCATCTTGGAAGACAAGTTCAACAGTTTATGCTGAGAAAGCGGGAACACTTTTCCTGGTTGTCACTGCCTTTTAAAGTATAAACACACAGATTTGCTGATGAAACACTAAAAGAAATACATGAAAAGTTAAGAAAAAAGTTTCATGTTTACATGTCCTTGCCTGGTTCTTTCAAGGATTTGAGAAAGCAGGACATGGTTAAGTGGTCTGGGTCTCAGATGAGTGGCACCACCCATGCCGATGCTCTTTTCGGGAGTGTGGCAGGTGGGCACTTCGTCTACACTAGCAAAGGGATAGCCAGCCTGGGGAGAGATGCTGAAGCCAGCCTTTCTGAGGACATGCATTCTGTGGACTCTGAATAAGTAAACAATCAAGGACCTGCCACCCTGTGTACCAGCTGCCAGGAGGGCAGAGGGTATACCCACTTCTGCCTGTTGTCAAGGCATTGCTTAACTGACACAGTTCCCCTTGGTTTAAGTTGCTAAGACAGGAGACCACAGTCATTCATGCCATGGACATACCCTGTTTTAAATAAAGCCAATCTCTATTCACTGTGCAAAGATTACAAGTGGGTAAATCTTTTTTCCTTAAGAAAGGATTCACAAACAAGCAGTTTTTCATCAATGACCAAGGTGTCCCAGAACAGAGGTGACTGGTTCCAGCTCAGTCAGACAGAGAAGGGAAGGGAGCCACTGAGTATCCAGGTGACAGGGTTGGGGAAAAGTTAACCCAAGGCAGAAGGCAGGAGCTGGCTCTAGGGGAGTGGACTGCAGGAACAGCAGACAAAGAGGCGAGGCAGGAACAGCAGCTGGTTCAGTTCTTACATCACAGTGAGACAAAGCATTGTAGGGGCTGGGGAGATGGCTCAGTGGACATACTCACCGCCACACATGCATAGGGACCTGAGTTTGGGTCCCCTCCCCCAGCGCCCATGTAAAGGCGTGGCAGCACACGTCTATAATATCAGGGCTCCTGTGTGAGGTGAGAAGCACAAACAGGAGAACCACCAGAAGTCTGAGGGCTAGAGAGTCCACATATGCACCGAGAACAGCAAAGAGAGACCCTGATCTCAAACAAGTTGGAAGGGAAGGGCCAACATCTAAAGTTGTCCTCTGACCTCTACAAGCACACCATAGCAAGTGCAATCCTGCACTCACACGTGAATGAACACAACCCCCCCCTCACACACACACACAAACACACACACGGTGGAGAGCAATTGAAGACACCTAAAGTCAACCTCTGACTTCCATACACATGAATACATGTATACTCATGTGCCTGCACACACATGTACATACACATAACCATGTACACAGCACACACACACGTGAGAAAAACGGTGTGACAAGGTGTGACAAGGTGGGTAAATGTATGAGTTCTGCAGTAAGGCAGCTGGAGGTCCAAACTCTGACTCTGTCACTGATTAGTGCTGTGACTTGCCTCTCAGCCTCCTCGTTTATAAAAAGGGTGACAAAATGCTAACCTTGCTAAGGGCAAGATCAAATGAGTAACAGCCTTAGTACACTGCTTAGCTTTCAGCCAGTGATACTGAGTGCTGAGGAGGGTGGGATGCCCCAAGTGCCACCCTCTGGCACTTTTGCTTTGGCATGGGACTTTGTTTGCATTTGCGATGATCTGGAGACAGAACAGCTATTGTCCTTGTCAACCATGTTTCTCATCCTGTTTGTATTTAGCCACTGGGCTCAGCTTTAAGTTCTCCAGCAGCCCAGTGAAGCATGGGCTGGTTCAGATGCAGGACTGAGGTCCAATAGAGGGGACATTTACTGGTGGTCCCACAGCTGGAGGGGCAGAGTCAGCCAAGCTCTCCAACAGGTCTGTGCTAACTGGGGAGGCATTCTAAGAGACAGGTGGAACTTAGTGACAGGAATTTAGCAACATCTGAAGACCCTAGAGAATAGGTTAGAATTTGGAACCACTGTTTAGATATGGCAAGACCCTAGCTTGCGTCATGGGCAGCGTCTCAAAGTTGAAGATTTATATGCAGCTGATTGACCACATGGACTCCACAAAAGAACCATGAATACATCCCAACACAAAATTATAAATTCAGATGGGTGGTGATGGTGCACGCCTTTAATCTCAGGAGGCAGAGGCAGGCGGATCTCTGTGAGTTCGAGGCCAGCCTGGTCTACAAGAGCTAGTTCCAGGACAGGCTCCAAAGCTACAGAGAAACCCTGTCTCGAAAAAACAAAATAAATAGATAGATAGATAGATAGATAGATAGATAAAATAAAATTATAAACTCACTTAAAACATTATGAGGAGGTTTTTGGGGGGGATTTCTTTTTTGTAATGTAATATATGATTCTTGACTATGAACTTTGTGGATGACAGCACCTGTCTCAACGTCCAAGGGTTGGGCACACTGACAGCCTTGGGTGACAGGTCCTTTGGAAACCAGACAGGCTGCACAGGCACTGTGGCCCCCAGTTTTCCTGAGCCAGGAAGTGGGTGAGACTCAAGAATACAGGAAATGGGGCTAAAAACAGACTCAGGCATGAAGAGATTGCTGAACCAGGACTAAGTTTAGAGTTGCCTGAGCTAAGTCTGAGGGTAACATTGGGCAAGCCTCTGTTGTAGAGACAGGAAGAGTGGATAATCTAAAACAAAGTGTCTTAATCTGGCAAGTTTATGGTTAAGTCAAAGATTTGACTTTTCTGAAGAATATATCCATATGTAACTGGCAGAGATTGAGTGTCCACATCACCATTCAAGACCATCTCGCTAACCTTGTTCAAGGAATGCTGCTGGTGCCGACAGGTTGAAAAGGCATACCTACCTCATAGGAGGCTGGGTTGCTATGGAGGGTTATTCAAGGACATGACAACCCTACCCCTCCAGAAACTGTACTCTGGTCCATTCTGGCTGGACTCAGTGGTGCAGGCCTGCCTGGGCATTTGAAGAGACTATCTCAAAATGAAAGATAGAGAGAAGGGTGGGGGTATAGCTGAGAGGGTCCACCTAGCCTGCACATGGCCCTAGGTTTAATCCTTAGCCTTGTAAAGGGAGTGGGGTGGGGAGTCAGATTTCTAAATCCTATGCATAGAAGTGATTCAGTGTTTCTTGAGGGACTCAGGATTCTGTATTTCCTCAGTGATACCCAGATTGATCTTATGCCTGTGGTCAGCGGCCACGATGAGAAAAGCTTGGATCTGGCTACCCACTGCAGGTCTTCCCTCTTTATTAGTAGTAAGGGGAACACAGTCGTATGTGTGGCGTGAGTGACAGTTGGCCTCTTCGTTGTCACACCGACTTGCCTGACAGACTTTCCACCTATTATAACAACACTGTTTGGGACACCATCCTGCTCCCATGGTGCTCTTCTCTCATGAATCCTTTGCTACAATGCCACAAGGTAGATGCTATTACTGCACGCATCTCCCTAATGCAA